TTATTTTCTGAAGATGGAAAAGCACAGTATATGAATGCCCTTAGAATTAGGAAGCTATAATTTTCTAAATTCTTAAATTTATGTTTAGAGTTTGTCTTTTTTCACTACCTTTTGGAGAATATTCTTTTTTAATGAAATGGAAATAGAAATTATCATGGTATGTATTTCGGTCAGCAAACAATCTCACAAACACATGGGAGAGTCAAAATTATGTTGTGTTCTAAGAAAAGGCATTTACACAGCTAAGCTACGGTACAGAACTAATTGTCTACATGTATCATGCACACGATGTATACTTCAGACATATGGATATATTTCATATGTCAGGTTTTAGATTTGGTTACATATTTTATTTGAGTAACCATATGTCTGGTCACTGGATTAGCATTTACTGGGCACTTGCTCCAGTGGGCATAAGTGATGTGCGTGGCAAGCCATGTAGGACAGTGTGTGGAGAAATTCTGTAAAAGTAGGAGTTTTGTTTTAGTTGTATAGTTTACAATGAACATTTATTATTGCATAATGCTTTTCATTGTTTCAAATTTCAATCTGTATATAGGTGGCAGAAGTAGTAAATGGCTTTGTAGGCGTAATAAAGTTTTTCTCACTAATGGCTGGCGAGATCCATTCATCAAAATCTAGACGTAAGATTTATCCCTAATTTTAGTAATTTAGTGGACTTAGGAGGTGGTAATGTGTTTTTGTTGTACACTGTTTGGTTATAGAGGAATGTTTGGTTAGAGAGAGAGAGAGAGAGAGAGAGAGAGAGAAAGAGAGAGAGTCTAGATTTATTTATATTAAACAAAATCTGACTGTAGTTCGGAAGTAATAAGGAAAGTTTGGTCAAATCGTTGGATTAACAGCAAATCCGGTCTTGTACTAGTTGTCGGATTAGCTGAAAAGCATAAATCCTAACTCCACATACCCCTATAAATATAAACCTGGTTGTCATTATATGTTAAAGTAGTCACAAATGCAACCATTGAGTTATAAACAATGTAAGTTTGGTTTGGGTTTTCCCATTTGTAATCTCAACAATGTAACCCCAAAACCAAACCGTCCCAGAACTCAACTTTACCAGAGATTTTCTGTCCCTAACCTGTTCAAAAACATTTCCAAACCTGACATTCATGGGTGGACTAGGTTTGGTCCTGCCAAAATCTGCCTGTTGTTGGCCATAGAAAAACGGTGTTTCCTATTATTATTATTATTTTTAAATACTTCAAAAATGGACGTGTAGTCTATCCCAATTAGTTTCGATATAATGGTTTCATTGTTTTTTAAGTCAACTGGATAATGGTGTTGATAGAAGATATGTCTTATATTGTTAAACAATTGGTAATAGTGAGAAATGATATGATCCTTAATGTAGTGAAAAGTATGGAATTGTATAGGTACTAGTGATAGAACAGAGTGCATATTGAGAATCTGTTATAGTTTCAAAAAATAGAATCATGTATCTAGTTCCATTCCCCTCTTTCTTTTTTAAGTTGTGGATGACGTAATGCCATATTTAAAACTTAGTTTCATGTTCCCTCTTGGCTATCTTTTCTGTAATTAGTCATGTCAAGAATTGTGAAGTACTTAGCATATCACATTAATGAGCTAAGAATTGGGCTCCTTTCCTTTGACTAAGGAATGTAGAGGACCTAGTCTTTCACTGTTACTGCCAATCATAATTAGAATGTTTGGAAGCATGTATTAAAGAAAGTCACTTATCTTAAAGTATGCTCAGAGCCGTCTAAATCATGATTGGATGTCCAGTACTAAAGAACAGCAGTCAACATTTGAAAGAAAAATGGGGACGAGCTCAATCTGTCTCTAATGTTTGAAGGATATGTCTTTTAATAATTGCATGTCATATTGGTATGATGGTATCAGTTTCAGAGAAAGTCGCTATTTTTTTGGTAGTATATATTGACAGCCATCTTAAGCACGATTGGATGTCCATTTGAAAGCAAATAGAGAGGATCTCAATCTGTTAGCTAACTTTTGAAGGATGTCTTTAAATACTTGGATGTTTTATATGTTGATTGAGGTACTTTCTTTTCAGGTTCTAAGAAAGACCTTACCAAGATATTGAAAAGTCTTGTAGGGTTGTATGCTTCCTTCTCCTCAGAAGTTGTTTCTGTACTGTTGGAGATCTTGTTGCATGCTATAAATATCTCAGATTCCTCGAAGCTTCCAGTAAACACCCAAAATGGCCCGAGCCTACATATTTCATTGAATGAGTGGAAGCTTGTGATAACAAAATTTTCAATTAAGGAACCAGAGTTACTTCTGGCTCTCCTGAATGCAGCTCTTGATATGTTTGAGACTCAGGAAGCAGTGCTATTTGAGACAGGTAATCACATGACCTGATTTTTCTATGTATTAGTTGCTCCGTATTTAGATATATACTGGTAAACTTATGGCGGGTCTGTGCATGTAATCTAATTATATTTACTTGGTTTCAACTGGACTGATTTTTAATACTGGACATGGGTCAGTGATCGTTGTTGCTGCTTTTGTGAATTTGTTTAGGAGGGGTTCGCACATCATCAGACAGGGCAGAGATACTTCAAGTTGAACACCTCTCTTCTCTGTTTAAGTGGCTGGTTGGGAATTTTGAAGGATTAAAGCCTCATCTTGAAAAAGATTCCGCACCTGAGATCAAAGTTTCTTCAGGAGAAAAAACGATATCGAAAGCAATTCTGATGGAACTCCTACGTAAATGCCTTGTTCTATCAGCTTCTGCTAATAACCAGCTCATGGATTCTGCCGTCCATCTTGCACAACTGACAGGGGACAACTACCTATTGGGAAAACTGAACAAACTCTCTTCATTAGTTTCATCAAATTTGGATGTTACTGAAGAAGATGATTCTCTTAAACATTCAACTAATGTATTTAAGAACGAAGACGAGTCTATAAGTGAAGCAGCAAAGAAGCTAGAGATGATTAAACAGCGCAAAATGAAGAGCAAAGTAGTGAAGAGAACAGATGGTGATGCTGGAAATACTAGCAGATGGGTTCTGGCCAAATCATGGAACCCGTGTCCAATTGGAATGTTGCCTCAAGCTGTTGGATCTTCTGGTTGCCTTCCCGTTCTGGACTTTAATACTGCCCCAGAAAAGGTTTCTCAGTTACTAGGAAGAAAAGAGAACTGGGAATTGAACCAGTGTAGCGGCAAGAGAGAAGCTAGTTCCGATATACAGCTACTAGATAACAGATGTGTTAAGAAGTTGAGGGAAACAGAGGATGGCTGTGTATCAGATAGTGAGCATGTTTTATCCACAGAAGATGTCAGTGGTCATCTCATGATAGGCGGGGTCTGGAAGAAAGTTGGGGAAGAAGAACTACTTGCCATCAAGTCTGCTGTAAGGATTTGGCCACACAAAAAAAAGCCTGCTGTAAAGATTGGGCCACACCAAAAAGAAAGCCAGTAAGGATACTAATTTAGTCACTGATTTATTCAAAGCTAGGGTAGGTCTAATTTTGGAAGCTTTTGTTAGCATCTATGCAGTTTTGATTTATAGTGGTGATAAATTAGTGACAAGCAGTTTTGATTTATATTTTGTAGTGCACTATGTGATTATCTGGGTTATAAAAGTTGTAACCAGAGTTACATTAGCTGGCGGGTTCTTCCATTTTAGCACTCCGCCAGAGATTTTTTTTTTTTTTATGTTATTATTATTATTATTATTTTATAAACTCACCATGGTTTATTTTCACTAAGACACTGGTTACATTATGTTATTCAATTTTGTGTTCAATGATTTGATATCAGCCGGAACATTTTTCAATCTTATTATTAATCAGGAAAAAACTTGGCTCCTTAAAATTGAGGAGCTCCTCTTTACGGTAAATGTGGAAAAAACGAGAAGAAAAAAACAAAATATTGTGAGCTAAGAAGACAATAACAAGACCAAGATTCAATCACACAACAAAGAATCAAAGGTAGGCATGGCATACCTGCATCACCAGTCCATCTTCACCGTACTACCAAATCTACAGCACTTCAATTGTGCGGTAAAGGAAGGTACTGCAGGGGCGACCTGAGAACACATCAAGCACAATACACTGGCAATGCAGCACATTGTGTTAGTGTGAGGGTGCACACATGTGATCCCAGGTCGCTCCTGTGGAACCCCTCTACCTCTTTAGCATTAGCATAATAGCTAGCCACACAACTTGGTTCTAGTTTTACTACCACAACTTGGTATCCATGTCTTGCATGTGAACATATTATATAGAACAACTTGATTGAGTACTTCTCTCCATTGTACTACATAAATGGTACGAATAGGATATTAGAATTTCTAGTACAAATCTTCTTTACTTAACCATATGTTTTCCTTCAGAAGAAACTATGCATGACATAAATTGTACTACAATGTGGTACAGCTTGATTTTTTTCCAAAGCTGCTTTGTACTCTTCAATTGCAAGTCTGTCGTACAGTAGCTCTAATTGGATTAAGTTTTGTGGTACAATACTTTGCACCTATTCGTCAAAATGCAATGAAGCCTTGGAGAATGACTTTTCTTATTTTTCTTTTTTGCCAAAGCAATATTCTGAATTATTCTAACCTATAGGAGGGAGATTGAATTTGAGTGCAACATGACGTACACGCTACCTTAACCAACTGGCTTAGGCCATCTCTAAATGAGGATTATATCCTCAAATATACCCCAAAATCCCCAAAACTCATCTTCAAGAGTGGGCTACACAAACCGCTACAAAAAGAGAGAGGTCCACGTAAAGGGCCAATTCCTAATATGAGGGCCACATGTGGCCCTTTTGCTAGCCCGGGCTAAATAATTGGATGAGCCCAGCTGACATCACCTAGCTGTTAGATGACGTCAACTAGCTTTTTTAAAATAAAAAAAATCCGAAAAAATGATTTTTTTAATAAAATTCTTAACTTTTTTGTATAAATACCTACCTCATTCTTACATAATTTCTCACAACATCTTCATCATTTTACATATTATCCTTCCTTAATTTCATCCTTTTACATAATTTCTCACAATCTCTTCATTCTTTTACAAATTATCCTTCATCTTTTTTCATTTCAATTAATTTTTAGGTTTTTTTAAGAAAAAAAAATATCTAATCATAAATTTATAGGGCTAATCACGTGCCAACACGTGGATATCAAAAATCATATCCTAAAATATTTTCTCTTCTAAAATGTATTTTAATAGGATATAAATAGTAGTTTAATTAAATTAACTAATAAATTTACATAATATACTAAAAATTATTAAAATATTAAATTTAGCCCTTTGTTACCGGAGATGGTTAAAATATAACCTGAACTGACACTATTTCTTATAAAATTATTTTTTAGGAAGCTAAATATAGCACAGAGTTAAATATAACCCTCCCCACCTAGAGCCCTAATTGTTGTGTTTCTTCACTCATGCAATCTTTATTGCTTTAAACCAAAATAAAAAATAAAATAAAATAAACTAATAACCCAAGATAAAACCATGTAGAACCCAATATGTGGGAAAATTCCTTGGGGTGACATTGTTAAGAATTCTTTTTCTAAGTGACAAAATTGCACGAAGACAACCATTCTCTCTCTCTTCCTCTCTCGCGGTAAGAACAAATAGCTTCGTTGCTTTTGTTATTTATTTGCTGGTTAGAATTTGCGAGTTCTGTAAGAGTTTTTATCAAAAATAGTCAAAATTTAACCCTCAAATTCATAAATATCAGTTTAAAAAAAAATTCAAATATAGCCAAAAACTCACTTAAATTGACCCAAATGCCCTCTAAATTAAAACCTAACAAAAAAGCATGCTCTTCCAAGCCATAAGCTACTGAGCACAAGCCTCACTCTTCACCAAGCCTACCCTCAAACACAAGGACACTGCCCCTCGCCAATCACCCTTAATGGAAAGCAAAGTTAATATAGGCAAGTTTGTGTTGTGGGAAGATAGTCTATGAACAACGAGGGCCTTGCAATTTTTCTAGACCTCTTGTGCTGAGGGAAAGCAGCAGCACATATGATGGTTTGCAAGAAAGTTTAACCCCCATATCATATGCAGACTAGCAGTATTTATGATACGAATTTTGCAAGAAAGTTCAACTTTTTTTATCAATTAAAAATTATCATGTAAAGAAACTGACTTTAACTTTTTTTATTGTAAAAAACTCCCAAACCCATGAATCAAGCCATAGTTGCAGAGATGATTTTTATTGCTTGGATTTATGAAAACATCGGTTGTTACTTTTCTTCTTCTTTTTGGTAATTACATTGTCATTTTTATAATAGGATTCATAGACATGATTAAGTTGACGAAGCGAATCTTGTTTTTGTGCTCCTGTTATTTTGGGTTTTAGCTTTTAGGTGTAATTGAGTTATAATTTAGAGGGCATTTGGGTCAATTTAAGTGAGTTTTTGGCTATATTTGAAAGTATTAAAAAACTGACATTTACGAATTTGGGGATTAAATTTTGGCTATTTTTGATAAAAACTCGTTCTGTAATCTCATTTGTTCTCCTATAAATTAATTTTGGGTTTGAGAAGTAAGTGATTGAATTTAGACTGGGGGTTTTGGGTTTAAGCTAAAAGAAGCGATTTTATCTGATACCCTTTGATTTCCTCTTCTTCTTCTGTCTCCAAATTGAAGCGACTGTGCAGTTCTTGTATGTGTTACCGCTTATAAATTTTTATTTGGGAAAGTTATGCATGCAAATGAAAATGGTCCTGTTTTTCAAATTCATTTGCTTTTGTATTTGGGAAAATTGTGTATGCCATGAACTGATGCTTGGAACAAATTCATTTGCTTTTGTATTTCATAGGGCGGCTGTGGCAAAATGGGGGAAGGGGGAAATGCAGTTCAAGATTCAGCAGTCCAAACGACATCGTTGGAGAACATTGAGGCCTTGCTGGAGGTAACCCAACTCCCTTTTCCAAAAGTTAATCCTCTTTTCTAGAGTACCCTCTTGTATTGAATGAAAGGATTCAACATATGTGATATATTGTGTTTTGTACAATGAGATGTTTATTGAAATTCATATCCTGCTTTCATGAAATAAATTGTAGTTGGAGATGATCTTTTTGTGTTTGGCAGGCTGCTAGATACGATGACATGGATGACACTGTAAGCTTAGCATCTGCTGGTGTTTCTCTCGATTCTAAGGATTCTCAGGGCCGAACAGGTTATAATTTTCGTTGTTTTATAAATTCATCCCTGTTTTACAATTTTTTTTTGTTATAAAATTTGACATGTGCTAAAAGTGGTAGATATTTTTCTTGTGGCTTATGGTTTTCTCCTCTCTTATTAAAATGTGAAATTTTCTTTTACTAGTTAAGGAATTCATTTGGATTATTAAAGCAATTATAGAATACGCATGAGATGACACTTTGTTGTACCAAGTTGTTCTCTCATCATGCAGAGGTTTTATTTGTTTGCTGCTTTCCTGTGCGTAATCACTTGTGAATTTGTTGAAACTTGGACAGCCTCTCCTCAACCTCTTATAGTAGTTGGTCTCAATAACGTAGATACCAGGACAACCAGAGCAATAATTTTTCATGAATTTGCTTATTGAAAATCTGAAGGATATTTATTTGGTTGTCAAATTTGAAATTCAGTAGATAAGGTTCACTTGTATGTGGTCTCAGAGGTTGATGATATTGATATTTGATCTGTGAAGCTTGTGAACGTAAGTAGAGAGGTTGAGGAGATGCAAGGGTGATTTGGGAAGGATAGAGATCTGAAAACCTAATTCTTCTTGGAAGTGAGGAATCAGGTTTTCATTTCCTTGAGAAATAGTTAGGGGTTAGGATAATGCATTGAAGCTGTTAGTTATTTCATTAATCAGTTTAATATTGACAAATCATTTTGACCTCCTTAAAGTGTTTAAATCGGCATACCTTGTATTGCACCAAATTATGATAGCGTCCCATTTCCAAACTATTTTCAACGATTACTAAATCATGCCGTTAGTAGTAATGGGAAGGTCAGTCAAATGGGGTGACATGCATTTGAGGATGGTGAGGATTGGATTTGAGGGAGAGGGTTCATTCCTGGGCATCTCTTTGGGGCATCGGTGTAACCAGAGTTTAAGGAAAGCTGTCTTCTGTTTTTTTTTTCCAGATTGGAATGCTATTGTTTCTTATAGCCCTTTGTTGATTTCTTGGATAAATTTTAGAGTGTATTCAGTGTAGGTAGATGTTGGTCTTGGGTTTCTTTTTCTCCTTTAGAGTGTCGACAAGATGTCCTCTGTATTGTGTAATTTTCTTTTAATAAAGTCTTCTCCCTTTACTCTCTCTCTCTCTCTCTCTCTCTCCCCCTCAAAATTTCAAAAGACAAGACATATGTAACAAGGTAATGAGTATGAGTCTGACTACCGTATGGCCTCTTGAACAATCGATTCCAGATTCTGAGGACAACTCATAAAGGTGGAGATTTTCTCTTCAGAGTATTTGGATGGGAGAGTGTGATTGGGTTTGGGGTGAAGATGTTGTTTTGATTGTTCAATCCTATCCTTTTTAGACAGAAAAAATCCTTCCTACCTTTAAAATTTAATCATTTTGAAATTCCTTGTGACTTTAAGATTTCCTCATTATCCCTATTGTAAAGCTAATGCATTTCAAATGGACTATTGAAGCGAATTTAAACTTTAGTGTTTTTGATCCCATGAAAGGTTTAGTCAATATTGTTGATATGAAGGAACAGAATCCTGTGTTGGTTGCTTGGATGGGCAATACCTTTGGATGCTGCTTTGCAAGGTTTCAATAAAATACTCCTGGAATATCATCCTCTGGGGTTCTAGTGAAATGATGCCTCTTCGCATGGTTTTGCTTGAAAATATCGTGTTTTAGTTAAATATCATGTGAAATTCTAATCGCGAAGGGATAGATCCAGCTAGAATAGAAGAGGCGGCATTGTAAGGCAACTTGCTGGTGCAATGCCGCATTTGGCATAGGATGCGGCTTTCAGTTGCCTCTTCTTTATTTATCTTTACAGATCCCAGCACATTTGGTTCCTCATCATTTCTTCCCCTGTTTCATCGGCATTTCAACTGGCATTTGACATTGCATATTCAGTTTTAGTTTTTTTTTGGAAGAGTGGCATACTTTTGGGTTCAGCTGAGATTTTATAAATTGGGGGTTAAACCTGAACATTTGTTTTTTGACATTTGGCAATAAAAGTAACTCGCAGTCCTAGATCAAGACTAGGTTTAACTTTGTTACATATAAAACAAACTTAGCTTAAGGATCCCAACCCAACCAAAAAAGGGTCTGAGGCGTGATTTTTAGTGATGCCATCCCAATAAATAAGCCCTATGCAAAGTGCTGTATGAATGGGATGGGAAAAAAATGCTAAAAAGAAGGGGAGAAGAATTGCATCCAAGAAAACCACCCCAACCCTCACTCCGCACCCCCAACTGCTTAAATTCGCTTCTAGCTCCCATTAATAATTAAATTCTAATTACTTCCAGATTGGATAAGAGAAGATGGAAGCTAGACCCCTCCGGTTTATTCTCCTGTCAATCTCTCTGTTCTCATTTTCAGAATAGTGGTGAAGGGGAGGTTTTCTCTCCGTACACTCAAATTTGGAAGGCCAAGAATCCTCCAAAAGTTAAGATCTTTGTGTGGCAAGCGGTGTTGGGAAAACTAAATACAGGTGATACACTACAGAGACACTGCCCCTCTATGTGCCTTAGCCCTCACTGGTGTGCTCTATGTAATAAGGCAGGGGAGAGTGTGGACCATCTCCTCTTTCATTGCCCTTTCTCTCTAAAGTTGTGGGAGACGTTACTAAAGGAAGTTAACATGGTATGGGCAATACTGGAAGGCTGCTTTGAACTTTTTTCCATCAGATTTGATGCTTTGGGAAGGGGAAAGAAAGCTAAAATTCTTTGGGGCAGTCTGATGCAGGCAGTGGTCTGTAACCTGTGGCTGGAACGTAACGGGAGAATCTTCTAGGATTATAAGGGAGTGGGAGTGGTAGAGTTATGGGATAGAGTGAAGTTTTGGGCTGCCCTTTGGGCATCAACTTCCCTTGCTTTTAAGGATATATCCTATCCTACAATTATGCGCAATCTGCTGGCTGTAGTATTTTAAGGGGTTGTCTTATGTTTGGCTGTTTTATTTTCTGTGTTGAGTGGCCTTGTCTTTGTTTCACCGGCTAGGATTTCTTTCTTTTTGTCTGTGTTCTAAATATCCTCGTTTTTTATCCTTCAAATTTTGAATAAAAAATGTTTCTATTAAAAAAAATTAAATTAAATTAAATTCTAATTAATTAATTAATTTTTGAAATACTTTATGTATAAATCGTGGGCTGAGCTAGATTTGTAGTGTGTAACTGATACACTATTTTTTTCACCAAGTTGACAGATTCTATTATTTCCTTGTTTATAAATTGGTTGAAACACGTGACCAAAAAAAAATTGGTTGAAACACCCGACCATAATGAAACTTCATTCCTTGTCAGGAATTAATATTATAACAGACTTCAGAAGTTGATGATTAATGATTATGCATGGCTTGAATCAATGTTATTTATTCCCATATGTCATGCTGCTACGTTTATGGTTTAAGTGAGAAATTCTCATTTCTAAGGTTTATTTTTCTGCAAATGATCTTCTCTTAGTTCTTGGTCAATGGTTTTTCCCCCCCAATTAAACCACAAACAATATGTAGGTATGATGTTCATACATAAGAGAAGATATTTAGTTATCTTATGTTCACACAATCACATACCTATTGAAATGAGAGTTTCTTCTGGGTTGAATTTCAAGACTTCGATGGGGATATTGATGTTATGCATTTTTCTTAATTGTTATATTATACCAAGTGATAATGAAACTTTTGTTCACGCTGAACCACTTTACAAGCTTGTGTAACTGTGTTTGACCGAGGTACTGTGACATTTGATTGCAGCACTACATATGGCTTCTGCTAATGGACATCTTGACATTGTGGAGTATCTTATCAGTAGAGGAGTGGTGAGGTCTTTTAAGTCAATATCTAACATTCTTTTTCTCCTTTTCAAAAAAAAATATATATAACAGTCTTTTAGTTGGAAATTGTGTTTTATTTTATCTCAAAAAAGATTGTAAAGGAAATCTGTAAGTATCAATCTCATGTTAGAATATAAAGTCAATAGATTTAGGATCTCGATAAAAGGACTTATCAATTGGGTTTTGGTCCCTATTATAGATCTAATGCATTTCAAATGGGTTTTGGATGTGGAGCTTAGATGAATGGCGGATTGGAAGTTAGTGGGAGGAAAGAAAATTGAGGGGTTTGAAGGGAAGGTTGTGCAAGGAATTTTATAGAAGCTAAGTGCTGTTCAGATAGAACCCAAACACTCACAGAGAAGGAGAGAAGAAAATAGTGATTTTCTCACAAGCTATGGCCACCGCCACAATAGCTTGGGGACGCTGGAATGATGAGCACAATGGCTTTGGAAGGGAAAGTACTTTTTTTTTAATTAAAACTTTTCTTTAGTTGTTATTAATTAGTTAGTGGTGAATTTAAATGTATTTAATATATAAGTTAACCATGGTTAGAGTATAAGACACATTGCTATGGTGGTGATGCTACACCTTGGGTTAAAGTGGTGAACAAAAATGATCTCTTAAATTGTTAGGCAGATGACTCATTGGTTGATTATAAGGGTAGTACGTTGAAATACCAACTAGTTTTCTTCCATATAAAAACTCGCATCTTATAAATGGAGCAACTACTTTAACTGGTATGAAGCACTTTAATGTCTTTTACTCAACAAAAAGGCTTATCGGTTAAGGTTATGATTGTTCTTTGTTTTTTTTCATTTTGAAGCTTAAATTTTATTTATGTTATTTGCATTGTGATATCTGGCAAAAGATTTCTTGCATGTTCTCTGTTCTCAACTTGTGATATGTTATTATGATAAATTATAATAATTTTGTGCCTCTTTGCGTAAGGATCTTAATGCTACAAATGAGGAGATGAATACACCTCTACATTGGGCTTGCCTGAATGGACATGTTGAGGTGAATATTTTGTTTGTTTTGGCACAGTAATATTAACTCATTCTACTTTTTGTCTAACGTTTTTGCCTTTGCAGGTGGTTAAGAAATTGATCTTTGCAGGAGCTAATCTTAGTGTACTAAACAGGTACCCATTTGAACATGTTAACTACCGCCTGACTTTCCTTAACATATAAGATGTGCACTCCTTTTATTATAAGAATGATTGTGGCACTGGTTGTCTTCAGCTATGAGAGGACTCCAATTGATGAAGCTGTGACCAGGGGAAAGATGGATGTTCTTGATGCCATTAATGCAGCAGCTGCCCAAGTAGAGCTGACTGGCGTCAGCATGTCCTAATGTATTGAGTACCTAACGAAAAGTGGGAGCCATGACAAAATTTATAGATGTTATCTTCTTGTAGATTGCAAAGTTTAGATATGAAACTTTTGGTAATAGCTATAGAGGATTGCAACTGTTTGCTAAAGTAGTGTGATGCTAATCAGTCTCCATATCTCAAATTTTAATGTGCAGCGCTTCAGTGATGTCAAAAATGAAATGTTGTGTTGTCTATGCCATGGGAAATAATCTGCAGGAATATGTTTCGAACGCATATCTGGATCCCGTGGTTTGGCATAGACTAGAAAATGTTAATTTTAACCAAAGTTGTTTTCAATTATAAGGTTGGTGTAGCTTTATTTCTTGTGCATCTTTGCAAACCTGCCAAGAGGAAACGATATAAGCAGGATTTGATGAGCTCTTATTGATGCTAGTGGGGGATAGAGAAAATGGTCCCCAAATTTCTCAGCCTTCCTAAAACCAGACAGATGATGGTGTTCAAGAGATTAAATAGCTAATGAAATCACCAGATCTCAAGTGAAAAATAACATTCTTAAGAGCAATTACGAATGCATCCGAGGTTTTAAAAACATTCTTAGGTCAACTTCTTGCCGAGACATAAATCACCAGATCTTGAATACATTTCTAATCCCCACAACTAGTGGAAACTGTAAATTTGGAAATGTGAGAGGTATCATTGATAATGCCTTTTTCACATAAAAGTCAAAGCATTCACAATAGGCCCCCTAAAATCATCTCCTTAGGCAAATTTTAAGGAGCAATTAGAAAAATACAACTCCAACTATACTCCCTAGCCACCTCCTAAAATAGAGACTTCTAGAAGCTTCTTGATCTGAGGTGAGAAAGGACTTCTAGTGTCTTCTTATAATTTAATACTCATTTATTTTAATAGTATTTTAACCATTTATTTAATGCTAGTATTTTTTGTTGTTGTTTTTGTGTCTATACTTTATTCAAAAATTGAATTAAAAAATATTAAAATTATTTATGACTCTTTAAATTAGGGAGTATGGTTGGAGTTGAAATTTTATAAAGAGCTCTTAAAATAGCTTTAATATTTTTTGCTAAATTTGAACTAAAAAAATAGAGAACATGATTGTGGATGCTTTCACTTCATGATTTACAATTAGAGTACAAGTTGAAAGAAAAAGGAAGCATCACCAAGGAGAATCATAATGTCTCATTGGACAATGGGAATAAAACAAAACAAAAAAGAAAAAAAGAAAAAAAAATCAAATGTCAATGGGTTTTGGTAATAAAAGAAAAGAAAACAAAAGGGTTGTTCATTAGAATGGTATGCCACTAAAAGATAGAGTATCAATACCATCAAAATGATCGTAAACAGGAAATTCAATATTAGTGCTCAAAACCTACTTTTCTATTGGACTTTCATTTTATTAAAATGTCAATGAACCTATCAACTTTTTCCTCTTTTCCTTGTGCCTTTTTTTTTTGGTTTCTTTTTTCTCCTAGCTTTTCAGACTAATAAGAAATATTTAAATATTTAAATGTTGTACCACCAAGCCTGGAATCCAGGAAAAAAGGTGTGTAGGATTCTTCATTCCAAAGATGAAAATTGTGAGGTGAAGCAACAAAAATTATATATATTCTTCTTTCCAATAGTGCATTGTATTGATGCTTTCCAAATTTTCATATAGATGCCATTTTCTTTTGCATAGTATTTCAAGGCAATCAAATATTCTTGAATGTGAAACTTTTACCATAACTGGAAGCAATATGCCCACGCAAAATTAAGTGCTCTGAACCACTGCCACTCTCTTTAAAGGGAATAAAATGAAATTCAATTAGCTCCTTTTTTTTCTTTTTTTCTTTTTTTGCCAAGTTCAATTAGTTCTTTTTTTTTTTTTTTTTAATACAAGCGATAGTCTAAACTACAAGTAGGGGGACCTGATATGGTGCAAGTGACGCCATTGCATAGGGTCCCCAAAAATTTTTTACTTTATATTATATATATATATATATTAATATCATAAAAATTGTGTATATACTTCAGCATGCAGCACAATGAAACAAAAGTGTATTTGGTGTAGCTTGTTTTTAGTGCATATCCCTTGGTACAAGACCCAAGTTCGAGTCTTAGTCAGATATCACACCCAAACCAGGAAAAACAAAAAACAAAAAAAAAAAACTTTCTTCTACTCAAAAACAAAACCAATATATATATTATGTCTTCTTTCTCTTGAACTCTTAAGTTTTTACCGAACATATTAATATTTAAATTTGTCAATTGAAAACATTAAAAACTTTATGAATTTGATTTGTGATTGTTATTACATGCTAATTGATGATGAATTTTAGTTATGAAAAAATTGTTTTATGACATTAAGTCATGGCAATTTTTAATTTTTTTAGAATTTCCATATTAGATTATGCGAGGACTCGAGTTGAAGTTTCACACAGGACCTTCAAAATTTCAAGACTGGCCTACAAGGGGTAGGGGGTTTCTCACACACCCTAGTACAATGCCATGAAAGTTCGAACCTGAAATACTGATTTGCAAATCAATGCCATTTTTTACTGAATTAAACCCGTTGGTCAATTAGCTCCCTTTTGTTTAATGAAATTACATTAGTTTACATAGTTTTTCTCTATATTTCTAAAAGTTCGTCAACTTCAACTCATCACGACAAATTTGAAAATAATATTTAACGGTATCCAATCAAAAACTGAATCTCAAACCTTCTTTGGTATCATTCAAAGGTCGATAAAACCTACAGTTCTTTTTTGCTTTTTTGTTACAATAAATTGACAATAGAAAGTCTAAAAAAAAATATTATTTTCCTCCCTTCTAGCAAAAGACTGCATATCTTGTTCTTGTAGAAAATAAAAGCTAGCTTTCCAGGACAAGGAAAAACAATAAAAAAAATCTTTCGATGCTTTCAAAAACGTCAAAATAATATTTAAGAGACCATCCTAAACCCTAATATGCATGAGTCATGACATGCATGGTTCAAATAAACCAAGGATCCATGTAGCTAGGTTTGATTCAGCATTTGGCTAACATGATACAGGTATGCGTTTTCAGATGTGTATATTGGAAGTTCAGTGGTATATAGTGACATGGCCTCTGAATCATATATTTTAGGAAGTTTCACTAAAACACCCAAAATGGAGGTTGAAATTATAAAAAAACCCAACACCCAAAACACTTTATAAACACACCCAAAACCATTATTACACACCCTCAAAACCCATTTATAAACACACTCAAAAAGTTGACTTTGGGGTTGATTTTGGGTGTGTTTCTATGTTTAAATAGTTATTGGGTTTTTTTATAAATACATGTCTAGGATTGAGTTTATTTATAAATTTGTATATATTTTACTTTAGTGAACTGCCATATTACACCACATACCACTAAAAGAAAACATTATTATAGCCAATTACATCCGTGACACAAGATGATGTGGATAAACCCCACTATTAGTAGTGCCTAATAGCACAATGGGCACGAATAACTGCGACTGTTGGAGATTAGCCACCGATGGTGATTCTAGCCATCTTATCCTAGGGAACACTAGGGCATGTCACTAGAGCTACAAATGGCAAATATTTGCATACATGAAGCCACCACAAACCAGGAAGCGAGGATATGGGTAGGTATAGTTGCGTTAGGTTCTAACAGATATGATGCCAAAAACAAAACCCTGGGCAACCCAAAAACAAAAACAAAAACCCCCTGGACAAGCAAAAAGGGGAAAGGGAATAAGGATATTTTACTTGTAACCCAATCAAAACATCATTACTAAACAGCTTCTTAAGTGATCTAAAAGACAAAATGATTGGCACTAAATCATATCTGCAACCGCACATGGTGGAAATCTCATAGTTTCTAGCCATGGAAAGATCTATATATCATCATAACCTTGTCTAAAAACATATATAGCCTCCGATCGAGAGCCAAATTGCAACATCGACTGCACAGATCTGAAGGATGAACAGCACCCAATTGGAGAAATATAGAATTCAGGAATTGCACATTCAAAATCAAAAGAAAGAAACACGCATCGACTAAGCTTTTTTATATCGAAAAATATAAATACACTACGATTAATCTCTAGAAGGGTATTGCTGTTAGCCTAGGGTGCCTTGATTAGTATTCAGAAAGCACTTCCTTTCTATACCAAATGAATCCAAACGCAAATGAAAACTCTAATCTGTATCTAATGCAGTTTAAATATATGTAGATGACATGCACTAACAAATCTAAATGAATTTTCCTACTGATAAAAAATGAGAAAGTGTTGCAAGGATACTAATTATAAGCATTTAACAATCGGTTTTTTTGTCTGCAAAGAACTTAACAATTTCGACAAAGCGATTAGTCTCTCGAGGTTCCAAGATGAATCTGTCTACTGGGGCAAGACTATCACATAATAACAGTAATTAAGCAGACTATGACAAACACTATTATCACATTAAAGGTGACTTCACAATTTACATGGAAGAAACAATAAATACAAGCAATTGAGCTATAAATTCATCAATATTTTTCTAAAAGATTACAAATTTAAGTGCAAGTTCCATATTCAGTTCCAACTGATACTCCGGGCAAAAAAATAGTGGACATAGCAGTGATGAGGATTTACATATGTCTGATACGAAAAGCAAAAGGAAACTATAGGCATGTCAAACAAGGGATTAGACTTAGAAAAGGTGATCATGTGCAGCATAGGAAGAATTAATATAAAACAAAAATGAATGTGAATGAAATCCACATGATGAAACCAATCTAGTTTATATATATATTAGTGCAGACAAGCAAGGGGACAGCATGTGGGGGAAAGAGAAAAAAATCTAAGTAGGCAATGAATTTAGACACCCCTTAATTAATCAACATTAGTCAACATTTGTATGCAACGTTATTTCCAACAAAATAAAAACAAGTCACCTATATCCACGGCATCCATCAATCACACAAAGAATAAAGAAAAAAAATCATCAGATGAAGCCAAACAACCATTCTGTACAGCACTTATCCTGCTAGCTAATTAACCACAAATCACATAACACAATAGATTCTAAATTACACTAACTAATGTACGGGGAATCAAACTCAGATGCAAGGGACGGACACAGTGCCTTGTTTCATACATTAGCATTCAATATAGGAGACTAAATTACAAAATACTAATCAATCGTGAAGAATGAATAGAGAATGTTTTCTTTCTTTTTTATTTTTGTGGAAAGTTTA